GAGAGAGAGCGGTGTGTGTGTGTGTGTGTGAGTGAGTGAGAGAGAGAGAGAGAGAGAGAGAGAGAGAGAGTGTGTGAACAGGTGTGTGTGTGTGAGCATGTGTGTGTGTAAGTTAATCTGCTTTCTTCACTGCTCAAGACAAATTTCTCCTTATGGAGACAAAGAAAGAAATTAAATGAATTTACACTGCCGTCAGTGCTCAGATTAGAAATTCAGTGATGTTTTCCCCCCATTTACATTTAACCTCTACCCATCTATTGTCATGAGGAATGCAAAACAACAAATGCACATCATAAACCACATCTACAAAAGAAAAAAAGAAAGAAAAAGTACAACAGCCCCAAAATGCATTTGCACATTAAATATGTGACTCATTCATCAGAACAAGTGTTTTGATGTGCGTCTCAAATGCTGCAGGAGATTCTCTCTTCACTAGTGTCGTTTTTACTCATTTTTGCTCCGCGTCTCTGAATCAGCAGGTGTTTTAGTCAGGTTTTTATCCAACACAATGCTATTCACACATTTTAAGCGTGATTTTGCTGGTAAAAAAAAAGATTTGCTGGCTGCATACACATATTTAAGTAATGCAGGAGTTCAGGTTTGCAGGTTGTTTGCACTCCGGCACAGCTTGCATAGTTTATTCTTAACTCCTCCTCCTGATAAACAGAATCAGAGATAATACAAGCACACTATGGTGAATCTCCTTAAAACCCTCTGGTGCTCCTCGGTCGAAAATGTTGTTCACCGACGAGCTACGCAAAAAAAAAAATCACACGAATATGAACGTGGTTTGGCGCTGCTCGTCAGTGAACAACGGCTCTGTGTAGTTAATGCTGCTCCATGTGAAAGCACGCAGGTGATGGAGATTTACCGCTGATTACAGAACCGGCTTTCTGACAAGATGCGCATTAAATATCGCATGCGATTAATCGTGCAGCCCTAGAATGAAATCAATGTACCTTATGTTTAGGGGACTCAAATTTTAGGGAATTTTATAGTACTAATATTTTTGTAATATGGCTTGTAGTGTGGCTATTTTTAGGACTATTTAAACTTTGTGAAGCATGCCCTCGATCTGATTTTTTCTTGTGTTCACAGTACTTTTGTACCATTCTGAAAAAAACTAAACATAAAATGTTTACGTTATGCAGCACCAGATGATTAACGCGAGGAAAAAAAGTGCATGCAATCTTGGTTTGCATGTTCTCATAAATATGACAGCAGATAAAAACACAAGACAATTACAGCGTTGCATTTGATTATATTCCCTGTATTTGTTCTGACAGTGCTAGATTCATGTTGAAGAGAATGCACTCATGTTTAGAGATGAACTGAGCAAACTCTGTACAATTCTTAAATCTGGAATAGTTTATTTTAAATGGCTCTGCCTCACAGACTCCCGGCCTCGAGCACAACCTGCAGTGACTGGTGTTGTACCTGCAGAATGGCCTCTATGAGAGTGATGGTTTTCCCGGTGCCAGGAGGCCCGAACAGAACGTATGGCGTGGGACGACACTCTCCACTCAGGATCCGCTTGACCGCCTCTTTCTGCGCCGGATTCAGCTGAGCGTTGAAGAACTGGCCAGGGTTTGGGATGTGCTTCGCCGTCATTGTCAAATCTGAAACGGCACACATGCATCTGAAATCACACGGTGTCCGATTCAAAAGGAAATACAGCTGCAGCAATTTTGGGGCTAATGGCCAAAGAGCCACACTGGAAAGACAACGGTTCAGCTGAGCTAACACAGCACAGGTAAAGAAGCACAGACTGTTTTCTGGACATATTTCTGTGTGCAACCGTGCGGAGAGACATCGCGGAAGTTTATCGCTAAATGAGGAGCTCCTTCTCCAATCTGGAACTGGTTTGTTCAGGGCTGTACAGTGCGACAAAAATCAGTCCGAGCGATGAATAAATGTACTACAGTAGCACTTGTGCAATACAGTTTTGCGTGTGTATGAGCCCGTTTACACACCTGTCGTCACAAAGATAATATTTTTTGACATGCTCTTTCTCCAAATTAACTTCGTAACATCAGTCGAGTGTTTGAAATAACTTCATGATCCGATGTGGTTTCAAATCACAGAATGAGGCAGAGATCATAATATTTTATAGTATTATATATACAGTGATAAAGGCTATGTCGATTAGTACTGCATTATTAACATACTTCATCCTTATAAAACTACCCAAGACTGCTTGAAGAACACAGATAAACCATATATTGTCACAATCGTATGTTTATTGTCTTTAAGTTTCCTCAGTTCAAATTTCTCTATCTGCGTTTTATTCAGCTTCAGGGATAACTGGATACATTTGTCCATATTAGGGATTTCCTGGAGCGCAGTGTTGCCAATTTTCAGGGGAAGTTGCTAAAGGAAGGCTGATTTGTTGCTAAATGATGTTTTATGATGCATTTTTAATTACGCATTGTATTTTGTGTTTATGGATAACAGATAATGTCCTGGAGAATTACTAGAACCTTTTCCATTTTTCTAGATCATTTTCTTACAGTGTACTAACTGATCAACAATCGCAGTTACAAGCTACTAACAAAGTGAATAATAAATTAACAATTATTAAATTACTAAATTATTTTATTATTATTAAACTATTGCAAATAGCAGCTAACTCAATTCACGTGATGTGTGTACTAAATGCTAGGCATCTTTGGATTCCTCTTTCGGTGTAATTTAAATGGTAAATGTTCCTTTTTATAATTTGAGTCACTTATCAAATGTTGCTAAGAAGTTGCCGAATAAATTTTCAAAATAGCTACATTTGTTGCTAGGTGCTTTTGGAAGAAAAAGTTGCTAGAGTAGTCTGAGTTGTTCAAAGTTGGCAACACTGCTGGAGTGTCATTAAAATTTCTCTATCTGCGTTTTATTCAGTGATAACTGGATGCCTTTGTGCATATTAGGGATTTCCTGGAGCATCTTCAGTGCTATTACTTCTGTGATGCATGCGTGTAGTTTCTGTGCAAGAGCGCCCTCTGGCTTCCAGTATGAATTAAACAGCCATTACATTACGTGTGTACTCAGAAATGCTCACAACACCCTATTTTGGGTAAAAATAGGAAAGAAAATACTGTTCTCTAAAGAAACTCTTTAGTCTCTTAGTGGATGCATAAGATTCCCTGAATTATCGTAATTGATATCGTTATCGCAATAAATAGCAGAAATTGTGATATATTTTTAAGCCCCTATCGCCCATCACTAGCCTAATCGTTTTTGTTGTTTTTTAATCCAGTCACCTGGTTTAGTTTGTGTGGCCACAGACACCATCTCTGCAGTCAGTGTCGATGAGCCGTCTGTTTTTTGGGTCGCTTCGTTCTCCTGATGACAGAATCAGAACACAGACTCGTCAAACACATGATTGTTTACTACAGACTCTGATGAATTAATGATCACGGGGTCACCTCCTCTTGAAGATGTCGGTCCTCTTCCCTCCACTCTCCGCTCCACTGAGGCGGCTGCAGCAAGAGCATGCTGGGAAACAAAACTCAACCCAGACAACACAACACATCTGAACTACTGCGTCTCCATACAAACCAACTCAAAACTTCCTTCATTTGTGACCCGTTCTGGCAAAATGAGTGTGAACGTGCACGGGCTAATTTTGAGCTATGGGGGAAAAAAAAGTTAAAAATGGCGATTTTAGTCCAATTTGAGGTTTTCACAAAAATGCAGAACGTCTTTACAACCACATCAAGACGTTTTAGACACCTCAGTCAAGTCATGAAGTTACCAAAAAGGCGATTAAAGTGAGCAGCAGCACTGTCTGCCTCATCTAACACCCGATCGATTCAACTCCTCAGCTCATTAGAGAGACTTGAGGACCTGAAGTGGGTCAGAAAATGTATAGAAATGTGAGAAAATAAAAATACAATGCATGGCAGATCTGTGCCACGTCTCTTAAAACAGCCCAAAAAGCTAATAACCAGCTGCTGTGATGTCTGTTCATCAAACAACAAAAGAAAAAAAGGGGAAATCAATTACTTTTGTAGCTTTAAGGATACATCTACAGTATATTTGATTTAAAATGTTGTGTTTGATGACTCTTGATATCTCTCAATTATACTGTAATGTTGAGTGGCTAGTCAACGGGTAAATATTAGTGAAAAACTATTTCATAGAGACACCAGTAGTATTGGTATCAGTGAACACAGATAAACCATATATTGTCACAATCGTATGTTTATTGTCTTTAAGTTTCCTCAGTTCAAATTTCTCTATCTGCGTTTTATTCAGCTTCAGGGATAACTGGATACATTTGTCCATATTAGGGATTTCCTGGAGCGCAGTGTTGCCAATTTTCAGGGGAAGTTGCTAAAGGAAGGCTGATTTGTTGCTAAATGATGTTTTATGATGCATTTTTAATTACGCATTGTATTTTGTGTTTATGGATAACAGATAATGTCCTGGAGAATTACTAGAACCTTTTCCATTTTTCTAGATCATTTTCTTACAGTGTACTAACTGATCAACAATCGCAGTTACAAGCTACTAACAAAGTGAATAATAAATTAACAATTATTAAATTACTAAATTATTTTATTATTATTAAACTATTGCAAATAGCAGCTAACTCAATTCACGTGATGTGTGTACTAAATGCTAGGCATCTTTGGATTCCTCTTTCGGTGTAATTTAAATGGTAAATGTTCCTTTTTATAATTTGAGTCACTTATCAAATGTTGCTAAGAAGTTGCCGAATAAATTTTCAAAATAGCTACATTTGTTGCTAGGTGCTTTTGGAAGAAAAAGTTGCTAGAGTAGTCTGAGTTGTTCAAAGTTGGCAACACTGCTGGAGTGTCATTAAAATTTCTCTATCTGCGTTTTATTCAGTGATAACTGGATGCCTTTGTGCATATTAGGGATTTCCTGGAGCATCTTCAGTGCTATTACTTCTGTGATGCATGCGTGTAGTTTCTGTGCAAGAGCGCCCTCTGGCTTCCAGTATGAATTAAACAGCCATTACATTACGTGTGTACTCAGAAATGCTCACAACACCCTATTTTGGGTAAAAATAGGAAAGAAAATACTGTTCTCTAAAGAAACTCTTTAGTCTCTTAGTGGATGCATAAGATTCCCTGAATTATCGTAATTGATATCGTTATCGCAATAAATAGCAGAAATTGTGATATATTTTTAAGCCCCTATCGCCCATCACTAGCCTAATCGTTTTTGTTGTTTTTTAATCCAGTCACCTGGTTTAGTTTGTGTGGCCACAGACACCATCTCTGCAGTCAGTGTCGATGAGCCGTCTGTTTTTTGGGTCGCTTCGTTCTCCTGATGACAGAATCAGAACACAGACCCGTCAAACACATGATCGTTTACTACAGACTCTGATGAATTAATGATCACGGGGTCACCTCCTCTTGAAGATGTCGGTCCTCTTCCCTCCACTCTCCGCTCCACTGAGGCGGCTGCAGCAAGAGCATGCTGGGAAACAAAACTCAACCCAGACAACACAACACATCTGAACTACTGCGTCTCCATACAAACCAACTCAAAACTTCCTTCATTTGTGACCCGTTCTGGCAAAATGAGTGTGAACGTGCACGGGCTAATTTTGAGCTATGGGGGAAAAAAAAGTTAAAAATGGCGATTTTAGTCCAATTTGAGGTTTTCACAAAAATGCAGAACGTCTTTACAACCACATCAAGACGTTTTAGACACCTCAGTCAAGTCATGAAGTTACCAAAAAGGCGATTAAAGTGAGCAGCAGCACTGTCTGCCTCATCTAACACCCGATCGATTCAACTCCTCAGCTCATTAGAGAGACTTGAGGACCTGAAGTGGGTCAGAAAATGTATAGAAATGTGAGAAAATAAAAATACAATGCATGGCAGATCTGTGCCACGTCTCTTAAAACAGCCCAAAAAGCTAATAACCAGCTGCTGTGATGTCTGTTCATCAAACAACAAAAGAAAAAAAGGGGAAATCAATTACTTTTGTAGCTTTAAGGATACATCTACAGTATATTTGATTTAAAATGTTGTGTTTGATGACTCTTGATATCTCTCAATTATACTGTAATGTTGAGTGGCTAGTCAACGGGTAAATATTAGTGAAAAACTATTTCATAGAGACACCAGTAGTATTGGTATCAGTGATACTGGCCTTCAGTCATAAAAGAAAAAAAAAGATGCCATTATACAAATATTAAAAATATACTGTCTTTGTTGTTTCTACATTAATTTTAGGATTGAATGTGAAATTGCAATAAAAATTAATTATAAACATTTTAATGTTAGGTGGAATTAATCGCGATTAATTTCAGAAAAAAAATGTGATTAATTATTTTTTATAGATTGACAACACTTATTTTTACATTTGATGCTTTTGTTTAGTGAAATGAAAAAAGTAATATACTACACTCGTTTCCTTTTATTTGTTTGCATCTGCTCTTATTTATCGATGAAATAAAACCAGCTATATTGTGATTATTAATATAGCAATGGTTATTAAGAACAGAACTGGATGAAAAGATGCAACGTTGCAGGTGATTTTGCTTTGGAACCTTCAGAAAACTAACTTGATTTCTCTCAGAACTGACTTTGCTGACTATATTGACTTCAAATGAGTGTAGCTTTCATCCGATTCCAACTCGTACATCATTTTGAAGGGTAAAAACTCATTTTTGAAAATGCGTCACAATGAACATTTCGCCAGCACAGGACACATTTTCTATTTAAGCGTTTTCTTAAATGTCATGGTGACCTATTTCTATGTTTGCTGTCATTTATAGCATACATTTAACCAATGCATATTTGTATTTATTTTTATAAAAAATAAAAAAACAATTGGAAAGATCAAACGCTTCAACATACGACCATCGTTTATCCATTTACATCTATTAGCAACTGTAATTTTAGATTAGTTATGATAATTCACTTCTGTACAAAGTGTTGTCTTACTGTTGTCTCCGAAGTGTTTGCTCTGCTCCAGAGCGCAGTGGCACCTCCTCATGGTCAGCCTGGACAGAACGGGTGATTCCTGTGAGACTTCTGGTCTAATCATGAAAAACGAAGGCTTTATGAAGCTGAAGCAAGCAGCGCACCTGTTGAAGGAGAACTCCACGTCCAGAGGTTCTCCGAGGTAGTTCTTCTGAAAATCAGCGTTCACTCGTAAACTCACGTCCTCGTCGCTGATCTGCGAGAGCCGATGCACAGAACATGTGACTGACAGCTGTCAATCAATCACACAACAAGGCTTCCACATAACGTCCAACACAAGACGACATTCATAAAGGTCTGCAACAACCCACTGGTAGAGGGCTTCTGCAGGCTTTATTAAAGTAAATTAACCACCTTTTTAAGAGCAAGAGAAGAAAATTAAGCAATAAACTGAATGGAACACAATGTCAAGTTGTACTAGCAAAGTTTCAAAGTGTGAAAATACGACTCCCAACAATCTTCATTACTTTTCAATTCATTAGATTGTTACTATATCTTCTGATTACATAGCAAAAAAAAGATGCTCTTCCTCAGTATTTGTCTTGTTTTCCAGTGCAAATGACTAAAAATTCTAAAAATCAAGATATTAAGAAGCAAAATGACTTAAACGGGTAAAAACAATTCTCAAAATGAAGTACATCATAAACCAGAACAGATTTCTGTTTCGTTCTAAAACAAGCTTTCATTCCTCATTGACAGATATTCTTGTTTTAAGCATAAACTCACTTCATTTTGTTCAGTTTCTTTGAAAACAAGACTTTATATATTCATGGCACATGCAAAGCATGCAATAACTGGGGCAACTTTAACATGTGAAAGGATGCTATGACAAAGTTATCGCTTTCCTTATTCAAATTGATTATTTTTTTCATGAATATATGAATGACCTGAAGAATGAAAGCTGTATCATACACTTGAAAAATTACAAGCTATATCACCGCTTATCGGCACTAGGGGTGTGACAACACACCTATCTCACGAGACGAGACAAAATACAGATACTAGCTTCACTAGAACCAGACAATATCTTAATTCTATTTTTATGAAATTTTCAAATGACAAAATATTTGTCTTTTAATTACAAAAATTAAAACAATGCAGTTGTATTTTGAAATATTTTAACTAATCTATGGCTGTAACTAATGATTATTTTGGTAATCAAGTAATCTACTGATTATTTTGATAATTGAGTAATCTGATATTTTTTAGTAACAAACAGACCCAAGTGAAACCAGGCTTTAGTATGACGATTTATATATAAACTAACGATGAGGCAATAATAATTGGCTCAAATAAAGCATCAAAACCAAGTAATTAAATGGTTTTATTGAACAACACTGATAAAATACATAATGTAATATGCCTATACATAATATGAACATAACCTTAAGTACACTATGTGTTATAACAAACACCTGCAGAGGGCGCCAGACGTTTCACTTTCACTTTACTGCTATGTTTAAATCCATTTAATTTTAATATTTGGCCTTATGCAAACTCAGAAACATTTATTTTGAAATCGCGATGTACAATAATGGCATATTTAGAAATAGGTTGATGTATTCTCCTGTGTTAGCAATGGTTTATAAATGATTTACGTTACAAATCTAGTGAGATTATGCTCACGGTTTTCTCAGATGAACGTTAAGCAACTCAAATTCACAGCAAATGCAGAGGAAGAGTTCAGCCTTTAGTCTTTACTGGTAAGAGATCGAGATCGTGTGTGAACAGGACCTTTTCAAAGATGACGTGATTACTCCGAGCGGAGATCCGGCACGGTGCCGGAGAACTTTAAGCCCTGTTGTTATGACTTCACTTTATTAAACGTAAAGAAACTAAATTATCTACAAGAAATGATCATGCTACCTCCATGACGTAAGAGATGTACTCAATAACGGTTCCTCCACTACAAGGCTTCTTCAGAAGAACTTTATCACCTACAGGAGGGAAAAAACAACACAAACACCATCAATTCTCGCACAAAAGATGCAATTATTTTCTCTTTTCCTGGTTATGGATCAGCAATGTTAACAGCTGTTCCTCCTTTAAAGGAATAGTGCGAACATGATTTTCCCCCTCATGTTATTCTCACCCAGTATTGTTTTTTACTATCAGTGATTAAGCTGTATTTCTGTTTCAGTATTTGTCATGCTACTTTTTTGGGTGAACTACTCTTTTAATATTTTTTGTTTTGTAAATGCATATACATTAAATAGTAAAGGTGTAGATAGGGTTGGGTATCAATTATTGGCGTTTTAACAAAAAATACAGGAGTTATTTATTGGCCAAGTGTGCATAACATACAAGGAATTTTTCTGAGGCATCCCACACATTAAAAAAATAAATAAAAATACCACAGCAAAAACAACTCGACTAATATGAATTTCAAACATTAAATTATTAAAAGACAAGCAAACAGTCAGTAATAAACTAGGAAAAAACTAATTAATTAGCAACAGCATAAATAAATACAACTGAACTAATTTCAGGTACAGAAATTGAAACCAAGAATCCTCATCGAAGGTCAGTAAATGATTTTCTTTTGTTCTTTGATTATCATTAATGACAAGCAGCACATGTTTATTGGGCTGCTGTCTCTTTAACACCGAACACATACAGATCTAAATAAAGTAATAAGCCCCAAGAAGCAGTGAATTTATAACAGCTAGGGGGCGTTGTTAGGCGGAGTTACTGCTTTTATAAAACGGTTATTCCATATACGTAGCAAGGTTTCACAAAATAAAACAGAGCAAATAAAGTGTAATGATATTAATAAACACAGTATTCTTCCACCAAACAATGTAGCTCCTCAGAAACAGTTGTGGTTGCTACAAAGTGGTTGCCGAGCAACACACAAACGTAAACAAAGGTGTGTGTTACTTTGTAGCGTCATTTACAACAGCTTCGAACGCGACTCAGCCAATCAGAATCAAGCTCCGGAACTCTCCGCTTTATAAAATACTGTACGTGTGCGTTTTCTTTCTCATTCGTTTGTGTTTACTTAAGACAAAAACCGCTGTGTTTATGATGATATACTGATGCATTTTCGTGCATACTGGTCGGTAAATGTGAAAGAAGTGGAAATGCACGGAACGGTTCGAGAACGGACACAAACCGGGAATCCGCACCAGGACCGCCGTTCAGTGCGCTGCACGCAAACAGTGCGCAAATTAATCCCGTTCCTCATTTAAAATCACATTAAAATGCGAACGCAGGAATCATTATGTGGAATCGAAATGCACGTGTCTTATCAAAATCTGGAACCAGTTCAGAAATGGACCAGGTTCTCGATACCTAACCCTAGATTATAAGAGAGCGTCCTGACCGATGAAGAGGCTCGGCCGGCCCTCGGCGAGGCCTGGCACCTCCAGGTGCAGATACACGGCTCCTTTCCTGAGGATGGCGCCGGTGAGACTGAACTCTCGGATCTCCCTCTCGGCCTGCAGCTCCTCCAGCCACAGCAGAGCCGAGAAACGCGGCAGCATCCACGACAGGCTCAAGGGCTGCGGAAACACACCACAACAGCTCTTATTAAAAGGTGATGCGTGTCAGTTAATGCATTCAACCAATCCTGTGAGTTTCATGGTTTGGAGAAAGAACAAAATAAATAAATAAATAAAAGGGTGGAACAGGGAAAAAAAACGCATGCTTTTTCTTGTAAAAGACGAGATAACTCGTCAATGGCGGGGAAAGAGTTACCATATATATGGTATCTTTTTTTATGCATTAAACCAATTTTTTACTGACAAAATGCAATCAGACAGAAAATTTAGGCATCACATCATTGCCCCATATGTCAATGATTACCAGTTTTTTTATAATAAATTTGTATTGTATCATAAAAAAAAAAAATGAAAACAGCCAACACAGAATTTATAAACAAGATATTTCAAAGAGTCCCATTATTAGTAAAAAAGATAAAAAGTTTATAAATGCTTCAATTGTATTAAGTTTTATTAATCCAATTTATTATTAATGCTTTTTGATTGTTAAAGTTCAATTAAACCATTAAAACAGAAACCTTAAAAATAAACAGAATTTGGAAAAATAAAACTGATTTCCAATTACATTTTTGTTACACGTAATACAGATGTGTTCAATTGTACACATTTCATGATTTAAATTAATTAGACATGCTTTCAGATTACTGAAATTTAAATTTAAAGTGCCCCTATTATGGGTAATGAAAGGTTCATATTTTGGTTTTGGGCGTCCCCAACAACAGGTTGACAAGCATGCAAGGTCAAAAACACTTTCATTGTCTTGTAATGTGCATTTATTTTCATCCTTATTTGCGGAACGACTCCTAAACGATTTGCTCAACGATTAATTTTTCCAAACGCCTGCTTTGCGTGACGCTAATCTGCGGTGATTGGTCCGACTGGATCATGCCTGATAAAGCGGCGTTTGTGAGCGCAGTGCTGCTTCTGTACAGCGTTACCAGGGAAACGGCTATTACTACTGCTCTAAAAGCGGCATCTAGTGGCAAAAATGAATTTGCATTTCAAGTTTTCCCGGGTCTGCGCCGGGCAATATGCTAATGTTTCATGCTGACGTCCGGCTTGGGACTCGTTTCAATGATTCGGAGTCGACTCTTTCTTTTGAGAGACAATAACTTTATACACAGTGCACTTTCAGATTTAAAACTTTGCAGGATGTTTCCATTCACTTAGAGCTGTGTTACACACTGCATGAAAGGTCATTTTCAAAAATCCATAATAGGGGCACTTTAACCATTAAACGGAACCCAGAAAAGTCAAAACTGAGTTTGTGAGAAAATCAAACTGATTTCATCCCTACAATGAGCAATGAGCGTCATGAATCCGCATGTGTGAGATGCAGCAGAGAAGCGCATTACCTCCGCCAGAGCCGGCTGTGCGATCAGAACGTCCTTCTGACCTTCCACACAATCTCTGAGAGCCTGAGGAACGCCGTAGTTCCCCAAGAAGTTTGGAAGATGCCGCCGTGCAAGTCTGTCGAAAACCAGTGACGAGACCATTACAGCACAGATTTCACAAGATATCGGTCAATGACACTCAGGATCCGTCGCACTTACCTTCATCTTTAGCATTAGATCTTTCTGTCTTTGAACAAAACCAATGCTAGAGGATGGTGGATTCATTCTTATTCTCACAACCATTAAAGAACACTGACAAACTCACTTACATTTAGGGTTGCAAAGGGGTGGAAAATTTCCGGAAACTCTCCAAAAATCCTAGAATGTTTCCTAAATTTACTGGAAATTTTCCACCTTTTAGCAATCCTACTTATTACACTTTTAAATTTTTTAATGAAAGTTTTAAGTATGGAACCGCATATGACATGACAAAAATATATTTATTGTGGCCATGAATTAAAAATGAATTCTCAAAACTTAATTCATTCCCTTGTTTTATTAAACTGTGGCCATGTTATTCTTTCATTTCGATTTAATTAAAATGAGGCTACAATGTGGCCATAAACATGAATTTCCTAATTTGTGGCCACAAATATATTTTTGTCTGCATCTCATTAATGAAATACACAAAGTACGTTCAGAGGGATGCACACTTGCAATGCACTGGTGTTAGTATGTTTCTGGCTTTAAAACAGAGTTGCAACTAATATCTGGTGACTGAACCAATCAAAAACACAAACACGGACACAACAGCGCTGACAGGAAAGGAAAAGCACCTGAGGCCAGAATCAGTGATATATGTGTGTGTGGCCTCACCTGATGGGGGCCGGCGGGGCCGTGACCGTGAGCACCTGCAGGGGCTGCTGCTGCTGCGGCGGAGCTGTTAGAGCGGAGTACGGGACGCTGGGTTTGAGCAGACTCTCCTCCGCGCTGCTCACAGACACCTCCAGACGCCTCCCGATGGTGAAGGAGGAGAAGTGCAGGAGCAGCAGCTCGGCGGAGCGACCCAGAGTCCTGCAGCAAAGCACACGCACAGTCACCATAATCTTCAGCAATGAGCACGACACACAAACACAGTGTCGCTGCACTTCAGAGATGCAAACAGGTGAGATCAGGGGCATGGAATTTATTTTAAAGATATCTGTTTCAATATAAAATACATAAATATAACATTTTGAATACAGAAATATTAAATGATTTAAATAACTGAAATTATACACTAAAAATGAAATGAAAAAAATGAAATCCGCCAGCAGGTGGCGGCATGTCACTGATTTTATCATTGAATCATTAATTCAACCGATTCGTTCAAACGGCTGAATAATTCAGGAATGAAGCAAGTCTTTATGAACTGATGGAAATCTGTCGTTGCGACGGAACAATTTAAACCCGGTCATCTTATTGCAACATTTTACAAGAATCAAGATTGAATATATTTGGTGAAAATCCCATGTTATTAAAGACGAAGTGGTATGCAGGCTATTTAAGACCATATTGGCTGATGCTGACCTAAAATGCTAAATGTTTGCCCTTTTTAGAGATTTAGTTTTTGAAGTAAAGAGTAAAGAAAATACTAGGGATAGGATTTTTTTGGCCGATACCGATATTAACAAACAACTATTGGCCGATTCCGATACCAATACCGGTCAATTGCATAAAGCAGGACTTAAAAAAATATATAAAATAATAAAAAAAATTGGTAGCAAGGATGTGTTAAATTGATAAAAAGTGATAGAAATATTTTCTAACAATACAAGTCTTAACTGTTTTGAATAAATGCTGTTCTTTTTAACTTTTTATTAATCAAAGTCTTGAAAAAAGGATAAAAAAAACTAATAAAAAATTCCAACATTGACAGTAAATAAGCATATTGATAATAAATCTGTATGATTTCTGAAGATCATGTGACACTGAAGACTGGAGTAATGATGCTGAAAATACAGCTGCGCATCACAGAAATACATTACAGTTTAACGGTTTGTTTTTTTTTAAACAGAAAACTGTTGTTTTAAATTGTAATAATATTACTTTTTTCTCTATTTTTGATCAAATAAATGCAGCCTTAAGCAAAAGACACTTCTTTTAAAACATAAAATCCCGGAGTGTAATGAGTGAATAGCCCTCACCTGGCCTGACAGCAGACGGTCACAGACGCTCTCTCCCCCGGCTTCATCTCCAGCATCTGCACCGACTCTTCATCAGCTGGGCCTCCTGCAGGCGTGCTGTTCTTCACAGACACAGACCTGAGGCAGAACTGCTGAGCCGAGTCCCATCCGGCAAACTCACAGCATTTCAGCCGCTGGCGCTCAGAGCCGCTGTTTCTGAGTCGAGCACCACAGAACGAGAGAGAAGCAACACATGCATCAGGAGCCAGCAAACAGCTTCAGGGCCGCATGCATCCCGTGATGCGGAAAACACGGACGGAGTCCAGCCATAAAAATGGAATTTACTGTATAAGGGTTAGGAATGTCACGGAATTTGTCAAACTTTGAATGAATTAATCAGAAGTAGATCATTGCACTAGGGCTGGGAAAATAAACCGATGCATCGTGAATCGAGAAATGATTCCGCATCGATTCTGAGATTTTCCGAATGCATCACGATTCTCTCTCGAGTCTCTCGAGTCGATTCTGAGCTTGGTTTTGAACAGTTTTCCAATTCCTTACACACACTTGAACCTAAAATAACCATTCATAACATTTGAAAAGGTTGAAGCGATTTACAAAAGTGTTCGATTCTGCATCGATTTATCATCCCAGCATTATTTTTGAATGTAATGATAAAATGCGCCGTCTACAGCCTGCTGTTTTTTCCTCTCAAAACGCAATTTAATACGAGTCAGCCTAGCGGTTTATTAACCAAGCAGTAAAAAAATACTTTAATGTCTTTAAAGCGTTGACAGTTTTTCCTTTCGTTTAACAGGCCTGCATTTGGCCGAGATCTAGAAAAGATAATGGCTATGATTGGTTATGACTAACGCAAGATTTTTTTTCTCATTTACACCACAAAATTTCAAATGCATAAATAATTGTATAATTAATTCATGTTTTAAATATTTTTGTTAAAATGTTGGGAAAAACGCAATACTTTTAAATATGAAACCAAACCACCAGTAGATGACGGTAAATGACGGTTTTAATGAGCGAGTCGTTTATCCAAACGGCTGATTCATTCAGAATCGAGGCGTCAGTCTTTACGAAAGGGTTACTGAATCATTGACTCACTTGATTCGTTCAAAAATGTGGATTCATTCAGTATTGAAACAACGCTGTGTTGCTCGGAGACACAAAACAGTCAATATTGTATTACGAATTGCAAACTTAGGTATGATGATGGTCACAGACACACTTTTTTAGCTTCAGACTTCCGGTAGGAGGAGATCAAACAGGTTTGATACTTTCAGATGATTTTAAAACACTTTCTTTTCATTTGTCACGCGTCTCCTAGCAACAGCGCGCATTGTTTCTGTGTGAGTTTGTTGTGATCGGAACAACTTTAAAGTCTACTAGTACACCATTTACAAAGTCGGTAAGTGTATGATGCCTAGGGTTTTAAAAATCGGTTTAGATTTTAAAAGCTATGCCGTGTATTCCAGACTTAAGGTGTGCATGTGTGAACTCACTGGATCCAGATCTGCAGCTCCTTGCGGTTTCCCAGTAATAGAGACCCAAAGTGGCTTTCCCGGCTGACCTGGAGCCCACCCTTATTCTCCAGCAATCTCTGCACCTCATCGTCTGGCATATTCAGCTCCGAGGCGTTTCCACTGTCAGAAACACACAAATACTGTAAACACTGAGAGTGCAAGCAGTCACTTATAAAGCTGCCTCGACCGATACAGCAAACACAATAGTTCACCGTTCTCATTGTAAATCAGTCTGTCCATGTAGAATAAGTCAGATTTTATTAAGGCTATCAAATTAAAACTCACATTTTAAATATGCAACAAACCCATCAAGATGTTTGTAACTTCCATAATCAATAATAACGCTTCCTCCAGTGAAAAAGTGCATCTGCTGTTGTCTCTCACATCAAAATCCAGCCACATGTTAGTTTAGAGCTGTTTAAACGCTGCTTGATCTGAGCAGATTTCTCTCCTGATTCACACCAGAACACTGACTCACTGGAGGAAGCGTTATTATAGACTCAATGTATTTGAGTTAAAAGCATCTTAATGCTGGATTAGTTTCAGCTTTTGTCTTCTCCAGATGTTAACTGATGGACGAGTGCTGTGGATTATTGTGATGTTTTTATCAGCTCTCGTTCTGACGGCACCCATTCACTTGCAGAGGCACTGATGCAATGCTACATTCCTCCAGATCTGTTGTTACACAGTAACTGAGTGTCACCTGTGCTGGACGGGCGTCATACACAGAGCTCTCCAGCTGTACAGCGACTGACTGCTCTCCACCACCACCACATTCACCACATCCCCCCGAGCGGGTCTGAAGCCCGGCGGCACGATCAGAGAGTCCAGACTGAAGAACACGCTGTCCTCCACAACACCGCTGCGGCCGTGCAGGACGCTCACGCTCACCTGACACACACAGCACACTTTACAGCCACTGGTCAGTTAGGAAAGAGCTAGGGCTGGCCCGTATGGCCAAAAAACTGTCACCATGGTTCTTTTCTTCACATCAGTCGATATCGATAACGGTCACGATAAAGGTCACATTTTTATTTCTTCCCAGTTTAAAGGCTGATTTTTGCTCCGATGTGAAAGTTGTACAAACCAGACGGTTAATTGTGGTTTTAAACTATTCTTTATGATCAGAACACGACAAACACTTCACGTTTTTGAATTCTTTTCACTTTTCCAGTCATTTTTCCTTAACAAAATAAGTATCTTAATAAAAGAAAATAACTTCTTAGTTTTGCATGTTCTAATGAGTATTTTATAAAGAGGAGAGTTCCGGTCCTTGATTCTGATTGGAATTGTGTTGCCTGATAATATTAATAATAATAATAATAATATACCATTCTCTTAGAAACACACATCTGATAGTAGCTTGAGTTAGGAAGCAGATGTAGATGTATGTTCATTATCAAAATCAGTAATATCTGTAAAAATTGTAGCAACCTCACTTTCATATTGTGAACTTTAATCGTTCTGACTGTTTGAGGGTTTTTTGGTTTTTTTTAACCATTGGTCTTCCATAGTAGCATACATTTAGATCATGATAATCACAGTTAAGACCACAAATATAGCACCTCAATACCATGGTAAAGATGTAATACAGAAAGTTGCTAAAGGAAATCTTTCGTTCCGCCTTTGCCTCGAACTCTTGTTATCATATATCGATGAAATTTATACCGCGCGATAATTATCATTATCGATTTATGGGCCAGCCCTAGAGGAGGTCTGATTTAGACTGATTGGCACAGGTCAGGACATCGCTGAGAGCTGACCGTGACTGACCCCATCCATGCGCCGGTATCGCAGAGGAGAAACCGCTCGAGCCTGACTGCTCCATTCAGACGGACAGACGAAATACTGCGCCAGAACCCAGTCGCCCTTCACCGGCTCGAACCCTGAAACACACACACACTCGGTTAAACACAGCACACAGCTTGCTCACCTTGTAAAAGGTCTGTGTCATAGATTTCAGTTTTTCCTCTGTTACATAAACTAGCATCATGCAAAGTCAGAAAAGCCACCAAATTTAAAAAGAATGCTCCAAAACTCAATATATGAATTGCCCCGGTGTGCATTTGTTTTTTGCGCTTATAATAACATAATATAGTTAAGAAATATCACATGAGCACTAATTTTCAGAATATTTTTCAAATATAGATTGCACGTGATTTTATACACCAGATCAATTAACAATTAGGTTAATTATATTAATTGACAACTTTTTAGTGTTCCATTTCAGCAACAAAAATAGTTTCAAACGGCAGAACGGTTGCATTTGGCAGCAACCAAGAATGCTATTTTGTTTTTGAACGATTCAGTGTTTTTGATTGAATCGGGTGAGTCGATGATTCAATGACTCATTCATAAAGACAGCGGTCACTTGCTTGTTCACGATTATGAATGAATTAGTTTAAACAAATCAGTTGAATTAATGACTCTGATTCACTTCTGGCTTGCTGGTGGGTAATATATAATATTATCATTTCATATTTCTATAGTCACAATTTTATTTAAAACGATTAATCTTATTACATTATTTATGCATTTATATATTTATTGCATATATAATAATATGCATATTCATTTGCCGTGTGAATGCATTTTGATAAATGGTAAGATGGATTATGTTGATACTCATTTAATTTGATTGGTAACAGTGTTAATCAGTGCAAGTAATTAAAAGATGTTCAACAACCTTGTTTTTAAGAGAGTGAATAGCTATTTTTGTGTCTGTATTGATCACATTTATGTCCCTTTTGGAGCTTGAATCCGTTGGACCTCATTGACTATAACTGACAAAAAAAGCTACTACAAATATGTTCTTTTGTGTTACAGAAGAAGGAAATTCCTACGAGCTTGGGCACGAGTGCGTCATTGACACGGGCCGTTGTGTTCACATGCAGTTATCTCGGTCATGACACAAAGTTGCAGCATCAGTCCAGTCATTTAAATACGTTACATACTCTTTTCAGACTGGGGAGGATGTACAGTGTGTTTTCACCGTGCAGTGAACTGCAAGACTAATGCATGACAAGAGCCCTTTTAATATATTTATACACTGAGATTGAAACATCATCCTATCACAGCAGACTGCGGAGCATTAAAGCCACTGATTCTGACCTTCGCAGAGAGCCGATCGCGGGAAATACGTCGTCTGGTTGATGTAGCCTCCGTCTCGATCACATGACGTCACTGTTCCAATCAGAGGCCTGAGTTTGTCAGTGTCCAGCGCCTCTGACCCGCCGCTCTCCCAGGAGTCCTTGTGCCGCTCCACCTGAAAACAACAGAAAAACACTTTTTTACTTTTTAGAAATGTACTTCAGAAATAAAAGAGACAAGACGAAATACTGCGCCAGAACCCAGTCGCCCTTCACCGGCTCGAACCCTGAAACACACACACACTCGGTTAAACACAGCACACAGCTTGCTCACCTTGTAAAAGGTCTGTGTCATAGATTTCAGTTTTTCCTCTGTTACATAAACTAGCATCATGCAAAGTCAGAAAAGCCACCAAATTTAAAAAGAATGCTCCAAAACTCAATATATATACCGATATCTCAATCTATGAATTGCCCACCGGGCACCGTGCATTTGTTTTTTGCGCTTATAATAACATAATATAGTTAAGAAATATCACATGAGCACTAATTTTCAGAATATTTTTCAAATATAGATTGCACGTGATTTTATACACCAGATCAATTAACAATTAGGTTAATTATATTAATTGACAACTTTTTAGTGTTCCAATTCAGCAACAAAAATAGTTTCAAACGGCAGAACGGTTGCATTTGGCAGCAACCAAGAATGCTATTTTGTTTTTGAACGATTCAGTGTTTTTGATTGAATCGGGTGAGTCGATGATTCAATGACTCATTCATAAAGACAGCGGTCACTTGCTTGTTCACGATTATGAATGAATTAGTTTAAACAAATCAGTTGAATTAATGACTCTGATTCACTTCTGGCTTGCTGGTGGGTAATATATAATATTATCATTTCATATTTCTATAGTCACAATTTTATTTAAAACGATTAATCTTATTACATTATTTATGCATTTATATATTTATTGCATATATAATAATATGCATATTCATTTGCCGTGTGAATGCATTTTGATAAATGGTAAGATGGATTATGTTGATACTCATTTAATTTGATTGGTAACAGTGTTAATCAGTGCAAGTAATTAAAAGATGTTCAACAACCTTGTTTTTAAGAGAGTGAATAGCTATTTTTGTGTCTGTATTGATCACATTTATGTCCCTTTTGGAGCTTGAATCCGTTGGACCTCATTGACTATAACTGACAAAAAAAGCTACTACAAATATGTTCTTTTGTGTTACAGAAGAAGGAAATTCCTACGAGCTTGGGCACGAGTGCGTCATTGACACGGGCCGTTGTGTTCACATGCAGTTATCTCGGTCATGACACAAAGTTGCAGCATCAGTCCAGTCATTTAAATACGTTACATACTCTTTTCAGACTGGGGAGGATGTACAGTGTGTTTTCACCGTGCAGTGAACTGCAAGACTAATGCATGACAAGAGCCCTTTTAATATATTTATACACTGAGATTGAAACATCATCCTATCACAGCAGACTGCGGAGCATTAAAGCCACTGATTCTGACCTTCGCAGAGAGCCGATCGCGGGAAATACGTCGTCTGGTTGATGTAGCCTCCGTCTCGATCACATGACGTCACTGTTCCAATCAGAGGCCTGAGTTTGTCAGTGTCCAGCGCCTCTGACCCGCCGCTCTCCCAGGAGTCCTTGTGCCGCTCCACCTGAAAACAACAGAAAAACACTTTTTTACTTTTTAGAAATGTACTTCAGAAATAAAAGAGACACGCATAATATTAGTGCTTTTGAGATTAAATTAATGAGCCGTTTTGCCTTGGCCTGTCATTTGCTATACAGTTCCTTTTAAACTCTGCTGATTTCTTTTGATAAATAATTTGCAAGCTTTAAGGTGATTAAAATATTATCTACCTGCACAAACATGCACAGTGTCAATATATTTAGTAACTTGCAAACAATATTCACCCCAAAATTATACACCATTTAGTTCTATAAAAAAAACATTTTATACAATGTTTCAATGAATGCTTATTTCAAAGAAATTTAAAAAAAAAGAGCAAATGCATTTAAAAACCAATAAAGAGAGGTATATTTATGCTAAGAAATAAACAGAATCAAATCTAACACCATGTCAGTATAGCCATATTTACGCATAAACAGGATTGTGCAATCCCTAGTTGCTTAGAGAACGGTGTTTTCAGACATAATTACCTACTTTTATTAGTTTTTGTATTTGTATATATTTAGACCTCGTCAAAGACTACGTCTGTCAAAGATTGTTTTGTTTGTTTGTTCATTTAAAATGTTAAACAACAGAGTCTTCGTCTGGCTCAACGGTCTCACACAGCCTTTGAGCTCATCTTTTTTCACAGATACGTCATCAAAGCCCTTCAAAAATTTTCTTTTGATAAATAATTTGCAAGCTTTAAGGTGATTAAAATATTATCTACCTGCACAAACATGCACAGTGTCAATATATTTAGTAACTTGCAAACAATATTCACCCCAAAATTATACACCATTTAGTTCTATAAAAAAAAACATTTTATACAATGTTTCAATGAATGCTTATTTCAAAGAAATTCAAAAAAAAAAGAAGAGCAAATGCATTTAAAAACCAATAAAGAGAGGTATATTTATGCTAAGAAATAAACAGAATCAAATCTAACACCATGTCAGTATAGCCATATTTACACATAAACAGGATTGTGCAATCCCTAGTTGCTTAGAGAACGGTGTTTTCAGACATAATTACCTACTTTTATTAGTTTTTGTATTTGTATATATTTAGACCTCGTCAAAGACTACGTCTGTCAAAGATTGTTTTGTTTGTTTGTTCATTTAAAATGTTAAACAACAGAGTCTTCGTCTGGCTCAACGGTCTCACACAGCCTTTGAGCTCATCTTTTTTCACAGATACGTCATCAAAGCCCTTCAAAAATTAATATAAAGACGGTAACTGTTAATGTTGAGTTATACATGTTAGCTGACACCGTGTAAATAATAGTTTCCTGTTTTTGAACAAACCAACCAGACAGCATATAGAAACTGTTAAAAAGTGTTTGAAATAGTTGGACACTGACGTTGAATGTGTAATGCATGTTATTGTTCTGATGTTAGTCAGTTCAGTTGCATAGTCTAGAGTCTTCGTCTGGCTCAACGGTCTCAAACAGCCTTTGAGCTCATCTTTTTTCACAGATACGTCATCAAAGCCCTTCAAAAATTAGTATAAAGACGGTAACTGTTAATGTTGAGTTATACATGTTAGCTGACACTGTGTAAATAATAGTTTGCTGTTTTTGAACAAACCAACCAGACAGCATATAGAAACTGTTAAAAAGTGTTTGAAATAGTTGGACACTGACGTTGAATGTGTAATGCATGTTATTGTTCTGATGTTAGTCAGTTCAGTTGCATAGTCTGTTTGGAAAAGTGTTCTTTATATCTTTCTGTTTTATTGCTTTAAACACAAACCGCCAGTTAAAGGGATAGTTCACCCAAAAATGAAAATTACACCATTAATCACTCACCCTCATGTCGTTCCAAACCCGTAAGACCTTCGTTCATCTTCGCAACACAAATTAAGATTAGGGATGCACGATATATCGGCCACCATATCGGTATCGGCCGATAAATACTAATTTTTTCTGTTATCGGTATCGGCCTGATAAGAAAATTTGGCCGATATCTTAAAGCCGATAAATAATGCATTATTTCCTTCAGAGACACTTCAGATGCGCGCTGTTCGTTTGCAGCCTTTTGTGCAATTGTACATTGTAATATTGTGTTTATTTGATGTATATCTGATTTATCTCATATAGAATGCGTTTGGTTAAGTTAAAAGAGCGCTTCAGTTTACCAGTGATCATCTTTAGCTCAGTGATATTGTTGTTTTCTTTGCGCACAAAAAGTATTCTCGTTTAGCTTTTACGGTTGAAACCCTGATGCAACATGAACTATTTTAACCAATGTCCTAACTACTTTTCTAGACCTGTGAACATTTCAGTTGCGCTGCTGTCTGCGCAGGGTCAGAGAGCTCTCGGATTTCACCAGAAATATCTTAATTTGTGTTCCGAAGGTGAATGAAGGTCTTTGGAACGACATGAGGGTGAGTACTTAATGACGTAATTTTCATTTCTGGGTGAACTATCCCTTTTAGAGCAAGAAGAGTTAAGACAAAAAGTATTACAATGTAGTGTCTTCTGTTACTGAGAAAATGTGACGAAGCGTTCACTCGTGTGTACTGATCTTGAGCACAACAGCAGGTGATTTGTGGCTATTATTGATGATTTTTGGAGCCTGTTCTCACCCGGAGCGCCCTCCACTGTCCGTGGGCTCCTTCCCGCACCGCCAGAGCCTGCACCGAGTCTCCCACACACAGCACGACTCCTCCTAGCACCACTCCCGATGTGAAGTACACGCTGTGATCGATCAGGCCGTACTCCGCACACAGATGCGTCACCACACCTGTCCGCACCTGCCGGATCTGCGCCGCACCTGCACACACAGCACAGCGCTCAGCCTCACCTGGACACACGCTGCTGCCTTCAAGTGTTTACCAGTTACACGCACATGAACGCCACCACATACTCGTTATTACGAGGGGGAAACTCACTCAGCGTTTCAGAGTTGGGGGCGTGTCAGTGAAAAAACAATGTTGCATGCAATGCAGCAGCCAAAGACTACAGATATGCTGCGTCTGTACTGATGGTAAATTTGTTGAAATTAATAAAATTATCATTTTTTGGTAAAGTACAATAAAACTAAGTTTTACATATTATGCTAAAAGTTGCCAAATAAACATACTATTGTTAGTGCTGTCAGTTGATTAATCGCATCTAAAGTAAAAGTTTTTGTTTACATAATATATGTATGTGTGCTGTTTATAACTATTATGTGTGTGTATATATATATATATATATATATATATACACACACACACACACATGTAATATATATAAATGTAACATTTTTCTTAAATACATGCATGCATGTGTGTGTATTATATTCTTAATAAATATACACAGTACTTACACACATACTATGCAAACAAAAACCTTTATTTTGGACGCGGTTAATCGCGATTAATCGTTTGACAGCACTAACTATGTTTTTGTAGCTGTAGAGTTAAAAAAAATCGTTGAATTTTGTGTGGAAAAGTTAAATCGGCATCTTGTTCTGACCAAAGCGACTTGAACGCACCTGACTTCGTAATAATAACTTGTCACCTCATAAGTACGAATGTCCCTGGAGGACTTTTTTAAAATTATTATTATTATTATTATTATTAATGCCAAGGTACCAAAGATAGAAGTACAGAAAATATCAACATTACGTACTAAACGGTGACATTACATGCAAAGCACCGTTTACACATGTATATAACAATATATAAATAATACAAAATAAATTAAAAAGATGAAATAAATGACCTGTTTCAACAGCTTTAAGATTAAATCGTTTGGATATATTGTTGAATCTCTTTTTTTAATATATAATAAATCAAGGATTTGAATGAGTGAATTTACTGCGGTGAATATGACATTTTGCAAGAAGTAATAAAAGGTTCATAATAAAATATACATTGATTGCTAAACAGTACATCCTTAAAAAAACACAGAGCACATTGCGACTGATAACATTACAGAATCCGATGCAAACTATATCAACATTACGTACTAAACGGTGACATTACATGCAAAGCACCGATTACACAGGTATATAACAATATATAAATAATACAAAAATTAATTAAAAAGATGAAATAAATGACCTGTTTCAACAGCTTTAAGATTAAATCGTTTGGATATATTGTTGAATCTCTTTTTTTTAAATAATAAATCAAGGATTTGAATGAGTGAATTTACTGCGGTGAATATGACATTTTGCAAGAAGTACGCTGTCGATTCATTAAATGATGAGCTGTTTCCTCTGAAAAGCTGTTTATTCAGAGAAGTCCTCCATTGACATCCATTCAAATAAATGGCCTCTGGTCTGCTTTCCCGCGTACTGCCGGACCGGAAGCACTAGCTTTGGCGTTAAAAGGTTGCAGGCTTGCCTTCTAGTGGCTTTGTTTCAGCCTGAGTTTTTGTTGCGTTTACACACTTTTGGACCAGCAGCTTCTAAACATTGAATCATTTTGCGAAGCAATTAGTTGAATTTATTCGAAACTTCAAAAAAAAAAAAATTTTTTTTTTATTGCATCAACTTTACAACCAAACAAGGTACAAAATCACATTGCAGAATATAACACATCTTATTCTGCCTTGGTTGAGCATAACCAAAACAAAGCAAGTTATGACCTACTTTTAGCCTTAAGATGTTTTGTGAATATGGAGTGTTTGATCCCAGAATGGGATGCTGGTTCCTGGTTTGCTGGTCCCCAGCATGGGATGCTGGTTTGTTGGATCCCAGCATGAGGATGCTGGGTGCTGGTTCGCTGGTCCCCAGCATGGGTTGCTAGATCCCAGAATGGGATGCTGGTTGCTGGTTCGCTGGTCCCCAGCATGGGTTGCTGGTTGCTGGATCCCAGAATGGGATGCTGGTTGCTGGTTCGCTGGTCCCCAGCACGGGTTGCTGGATCCCAGAATGGGATGCTGGTTGCTGGTTCGCTGGTCCTCAGCACAGTAAGCAGGTGTGCTGGTGGACCATCATAAGGTATTTTTTGCATGCTGGGACCAGCTTGGGATACTGGTGGACAAGCATTTGTTGTCTTTTGGGTGCTGGTATGATCCCAGCAAGACCACAACAAAATGTGTGTTACATATCAAATTTATTCAGAAATTAGTTTGTGTTTGTAGTTAAAGACCAAGACAATTTTCCAAATTAATTTAAATAAATTATTTAATAAAGAAAAACACAACATGTTGCTGGTTACATGTTTACACAGTAAAATTCCCAGTGTTAAACAAACACTGCTTAGTTTTCATATGTTCCTGGTCTATAGAGAGTAAAAGTAACACTGAAGCAGTGTTTTAGTTAGTGAAATAAAGTAGATTCACTCTACAAGTGATGACTGAGCATTAGTGATGACACTTACGGTTAACGAGCGGAATCACTGAGAATAAGAGGAACGGCAAGAACAGAACAAAGTGAAGAGGTGAGCAGAAACACATCAACTACTTACAGCAACAAAGCCTTAGATATCTCACCAGAGGATGATTAAACTGCAAAAAGAGAATTACCATATTCACTTATTGCAAGCCAGTTTGGCTTTATTTCTTTCATATGGTAAATGTAAAAAGGTTGCTGAAGTCTGTTACCATTATGGTGATTGGTGTTCATTTTAGTTGGGCACTTGGCCATTGACTTTGGTTGAATTAACTCTTGTCTCAGCAATTGTTAAAAGTGCATGCTATCACTATTTTCAATAATATTTCATGGACCTCACTGCACTGACATACCTTTTACTATGTGCACGTTTTGAAATCAGTGACTGACAGCTGGATTTGAGCATATGTGTCTTTCCAGATAAGTATGAAAGTCTTTAAAAACAGCCACTTTTGGTTTTGAACTTTCATTATCAAGTTGTTATTAACTGTCCCGTTGAAAGAGCTCTTCTCATAACCCCTGTTATTGAACAAACTGCTTATGATTACACTCCTATTAGGCATTTTTTGGTTTTCTGTGTACAGATTTCATGAAACTTGAAACAATTCCTTTGATGCTTTGAAACGTTTTACCAGCTTACCAGTGACACTGATTAATAATGTAATCATAACAAAAGCAATTAAACTTTTCAGTACAACTTTCAGCAGAGGGAAGAAATTACATAGTTATCATATAATTAGATAAATCATGTTTTAACCTTATATGTTTTTCCTTTGCATCATTAATGTGTTAAATAGAGAAATATGAAAGGAAAAACTGTTTGTCCCCAAAACACTACTTGCATACAGACAGTTGGCCTACTGACACTCAACCCTGCAAGACCATGCTGGTGAACCAGCATCACCAGTTCCCTTTTGCTTGAGAACAGCATGGATATGCTGATCCACCAGCTAGACCAGTACTATAACAGCATAAACCAGCACTAAACCAGCCGGGACCAGCTTGGAATCCATGCTGGTTTATGCTGGATTTTTCAGCAGGGTACTTATCCAGAGTGAGCAAAAGTGCTGGCAAAATCACTCTGGACCCCTCACATCCAAGTTCCATTCAAGTTCCCTCTGTAACTTGTGTTCTTTGAGTGTTTGTCTCTGTGTTTGTTTGTCAGGTGAGTCGAAACTAAACTCAGGAATGAGGAACCTGTTTTACAGACTCAGACACGCCTGTTTCACACACGTCACTCAAACACAGAACCAGGAAACAGGAATAACATGAGTTCAGGGAAAGAGAAACTGTAGAAGTGTAGCTGAGCTGTTGTGTGTTTGCGACTCTGTATTTCTGCAGTAAAATGGCAGAAGCCAGATTTTCTCAGGATGAGTTCTTGTGTCCGGTGTGTCTGGATCTCCTGAAGGATCCAGTGACCATCCAGTGTGGACACAGTTACTGTAAGAGCTGTATTACAGACTGCTGGGATCAGGAGGATGAGAAGAGAGTCTACAGCTGCCCTCAGTGCAGACAGACCTTCAGTCCAAGACCTGCTTTATTTAAGAACGTGGTGTTTGCTGAAATGCTATTCAAGATAAGAGTCAGCTGGTTATCTAATTCCAATCTGATACAAAAGTGAACAGAAATGGCAGTAAAGTCAAACACTAAAAAGTGACACGTTCTTCAGAAATGAATTCAAGATCTTCACAGTTATTCCTTATGTTTAGTTATTACACCTGCATCTTTGGCCCTAAGGGGGTTTTGCTTGTAAGACCAAAGTCCCAAGAGTGGGTCGTGCTCCTTTAGACATTAACAAAGATATTTTGGGATAAATGGATGACTATTCCCTGCTCAACTTCTCACCACAGGAGAGGAATGAAAATCATCTACAGTACTAACATCGCCTTTAGATAATGTCTAAAATAGCATCTCAGGTGAAATTCTGGACATAGAATGAGTCTAATAGTAAGTCAGGTAAGTAAGTAATACACTATATGGACAAAAGTAAAGGAACACCTGACTGTAACACCAACAAGGACTTTAATGACATTGAATTCTAAACACACAGACATTAATAACACTGCCAGTGTGATATAGTGCAGGTGTCTTCTGAGATGGGTGGTGGCTGAATACAAACCAAATCATTTTGATACTCAAATGTCTCTTTACAGCACGACTGAGGTGGATCTAAAGCCTGTCTAGATTCTGGAGTCTCAGTGTTTCACAGAAGTCACATATTAGACCACTGACGAGAGGAAACACACCGGGTTCCCAAACAACGGGCCAGGTGTGAAAGCACCCTAAAATGCTGATAAAGACAAGAAGCGAGACATAAACACATGACCATATGACTGAAATGTTCAAGTGTAAAAAAATAAAACACATTTATTCTGTGGCACCTAAAAAAATAATTTGGCGCCTAATTTAGTTTCTTATAGGAGCCAATGGCCCTGTAAATGGCTGCAGAGCCAGTGCTTGTTCTGCAGGCAAACATCAGTGCCTTGAATTTCATGCGAGCAGCTATCGGTAGTCAGAGCAAAATGATTATCAGCTAAA